AAGTCATGTCTGTATTGTACACCACTGCATCCTTGGTGTCTAGCACAGTAAGCACCCAAAAATATTTGCTGGATAAAGATTAAATACAAGAATTTAAGGAGAGCCAGCATTCAAGTTTAAGAACAAACTATGCTGTAAAAACAGACACATAAATCAACGGAGCAGAATAGAGAGCACAGAAATAAACCCACACATATATGATCAATAAATTTAAGACAAAGGAGCCAAGAATATTCAATAGGGAAAGGATGGTCTCTTAAATAAATGGTGTTGGGGAAACTGGACAGCCACATGAAAAAGAAAGAAACTAGACCTGTACCTTACACTATACACAAAAATCAACTCAAAATGGATTACAAAGTTGAACCTAATTCCTGAAACCATAAAACTCCTAGAAAAAAATATAGAGGGTAATCTCCTTGACATTGGTGTTGCTAATGATTTTTTGGATTTGACATCAAAAGCAAAGGCAACAAAAGCAAAAATAAAGTGGGACTACATCAAACCAAAATCTTCTGCACAGCAAAGGCAACCATCAACAAAATGAAAAGGCAACCTACTAAAAGGGAGAAAATATTTGCAAATCATATATCTGATAAGGGGTCGATATCCAAAATATAAAGAACTCATACTACTCTATAACAAAAAAATAAAAATCCAATTAAGAAATAGGCAGAAGAACTGAGTAGACATTTTTCCAAAGAAGACCTCCAAATGGCCAACAATGTTGAGGATATGAAAAGATCCTCAACATCACTAATCATCAGGGAAATGCAAATCAAAACCACAATGAGATAGCACCTCACACCAGTTAGAATGGCTATTAACAAAAAGACAAAAAATAAGTGCTGGTGAGGATTCAAAGAAAGGAATCCTCATACATGTTTGGTGTAAATTGGTGCAGCTACTATGAAAAACAGTATAGAGATTTCTCAAAAAATTAAAAATAGAACTATCATACAATCCAGCAATCCCACTTCTGTGCATATATTTGACAGAAATGGAATCACTATTTAGAAAAGATATTTGCACCCCCATGTTCATTGCAGCATTATTTACAATATCCAAGACACGGAAAAAAACCTAAGTTTCCATCAATGGATCAGTGGATAAAGAAAATATTCCAATATACAGTGGAATATTATTCAGTCATAAAAAAGAAGGAAACCTTCCCTTTGTGACAATGTAGATGGACCTTGAGGGCATTACGCTAAGTGAAATAGACAGAGAATGACAAATTCTGTATTATCTCACTTACATGTGCAATCTAAAAGACAAAACTAAACTAAATTCTTAGATACAGAGAACAGATGGGTGGTTGCCAGAGGCAGGGCGTGGGGGCAAAATAGCTGAAGGTGGTAAAAAGGTACAAATTTCCAGTTATAAGAGAAATAAATCCTGAGGATGTAATGCACAGCATGATGACTATAGTTGATAATACTGTATTGTATATTTGAAAGTTGCTAAGAGGGTAGATCTTAAAAGTTCTCATCACAAGAAAAAAATTTGTAACTGTGAGGTGATGGATGTTAACTTATTGTGATAATCATTTTGCAATATATACATATATGAAATCATCATGTTGCACACTTAAAACTAATACAATGTTATATGTCAATTATATCTCAATAAAACTGAAAAAAAAAGTCAAAGAACAAACTATGCCTCTAGGCAGGGTAATAGCATGTAGTTAGACTGAACTTATCACAATTATATTATCAAGATTATATTGCTACTGTTACTACCACTTCTATTATTATATTACTCTTCTTATTATTCGTATTACCCCCCTCCTCCTTCTGTTACAGTTACCCATCCTCCTCCTCTTCCTACTTTCAATAACAATATTAACAGCCCCCAGAGTCTTTTGTTATCATCTGGAAATTATAGCCACATTGTACTCTTATAACTACAGATTTTTAAATGCATCAAAATCTTACAATCTGAAGCATCATGGGATCCAGTAGCATTCAAGTTAAGGAAGGCTCAATTACAATAACCCAAGGCTTTACTCAGAGAATTGGGTTTCCTGGAATGACCGGAAGCTCCTAATCTAGGAGGAAACCCTGTCAAGTGAAAACGAAAAAGGAGCAAATGCCAAACTGTGTGTTACATTCCCGCCCTCAGCACTAACCCACACAGGAAGAAAATACCGTGAAAAGAGAACAGAATCCCTCTCAGCTGGGCCCACGGGGAACATGGGCACAGGGTTTAGACATGGTTTTGTGAGCAGACTGGGGAGGGGAGAAACTCAGATGACAGCAGAAAGGAAAGAGGAAGAGGTGTCAACCGCCTCTGGTCGCTCAGCATTTGCACATTTAGATTCTTCTACACGACTTCAATTTGCACTTGATTCTGCGCTTCATAAGTGTTTGTACTTTGTTTGTGCTTTGCTTACCCAATTGGCCTGTAAACTTGAAGATCTCACAGGGATATAAGAGAAAAATGGCACAAGTGAGAGAAGATCAAAAGAAGAAAGAGGAAAAACTGTGTCATTGGGTGAGGAGTCGGCAGGGCTTTCCAGTGGCAGCTGCCTTGTCTGAGTTCAGCGTCTACCCTTTAGCTCTACACCAGGCTTACACTTTCGGCCACTCCATGGTAAAGAACTTTTTTCCTTTTCTGTTTTGCTTCCTTTGTACACAAATACACAATACCAGAACTATTTCTCTAATACTGAGGCCATTTAGTTTTTTTAATCTTGTCCAGCTGACCAGCAGCAAAGTTATAATCAGAAGACTAGGAATTTTCCAACCCCACAGGGTGTAGACACGGCTTCTGCCTCTCCAGTGACTTGCCATTTTTAGTAGCTACAAGCGTGGCTCCCTTGGGTTGCCCATTATTTTAAGAAATATGCTTTCCTTAAAGGCAACACCACTCTCCTGTCTAGATAATATATTGTCTCTTCTCCATTGCTGTTTTCATGTTGAGCCATCCTATATCCTATTTCCTATAGGCTACATCAATCCATGTTGCCAATTCTCGATGGAGCAGACATTAAGAGACGCAATAGTATAGTTTACAGATTTAGGCAGAAGGTACGAAATCTATGTCTAAAGCCAAGGTCAATGTGTACTTGTGCTAATGTATGGCGAATGTCTCGTTGGCCTCCCAATTAGGCAAATACAAAGAGAGGGAGGAGGACTCATTTTTGATAAGAACTAAAAGATAGAGTTCACTCATTACTATTATTACTATTCTTGGTGAAAACTACCATTTACCAAACCCTTACCATTTGGCAGGAACTATGCTAAGTGCTTTACACAGATTATCTCATTTAATCACCAAAATAATAGTACTTATGAAGGAGGTACTATAATTATCCGTATTTCTTATATAAGGAAACAAAAGGTTAGAGACTTGAAACAACTTGCCAAAGATGATATATATAGTAAAAGACAAGCCAACATTCAAATCCAGGCTACCTGACCCAAAATTGTGTAGCTAAACATTGTTCTATACAGGTCTCCTTATTTCCCTTTACTCAACCTCACCTTATCCCCAATTGAACTCAAATACTTTTTTCCTCTTCTTGGAAAACAGCAATGTAAACAGGGCATTGTAAGGTCATGGAGGAGGAGGCCCTGGTCTATAGGTGAACTGTTTCAATACCATTGTCTTATCTCTTGATATGAAATGGAGAGGAGATAATAAATCCACACCTTCTGCTCATCATGAATCAGCTCCGTGCCTCCTCTAACATAGACTTCATGAGTTAATTTTTGTTGGTTTTCTTCTATTACCAGGCTACTTTGCCCCTGAGTTAAAAATATTCCATTTCCAGTGCATTTTCTATTTGTTGGCTTTCGTCTTCATTTTTTTCCATTAGTAGAAATGGAAATCATTTATTTTAGGACCAAGCAATTTAGGGTAGGCATTATTATCATCATTTTCCAGATGGGCTCAGAGAAGTTACATGACAGGCCCCAGGTGAAATTCATTTCTAGCCAGAAAGTAGCTAGAACTTAAACCTAGGATTCCTGCCTCCAAATGCAGGCCTCTAAAACAGGGATGTGTGACTGCTACATGTCCAGCAGCCTCCTTGGCACTTTACACACCTTATGCTAAATATATCCACAGCCACTTTCATAAATTCTCCCACAAACCTGCCCAGCTTCCTTTCCCTCCCATCTTAGTGAATGGCACTACCATTCAGATATGTGTGCCAGACACCAGGTGTCGTCTTCAATTTTTCTCTCTCCTTCACTCATACTGCAATTGTCCTATATCCACTCTATTACCAATTCATATCTGTCTTATGCCCAACTCATAAAATTTAACATTTTCTTTCTATATCTACCCAAACTACCGCTCTGTCTCCTCTGGGCTACTGGGCTTGTCTCCTAACACATCTCTGCCTTTTCCTTCCTGTCTACCTTCACTCCATTCTCATACTGAAACCAGCATGACGTTCTTATAACACAAATACAGTCAGGCCATAAATGTCATGCCATCTTTTTGTTGAAAATATTTCAATGTCTTCCCATGGCTCTTAGATAAAAATTAAAACCTTGAACACGGCTGACAAGGCCTGGCATGATTTGGTTTTTACCATATCTCCCAGTTCATCCCTTAATCTCTGCACTGCAGTCCCAGTGGTATTTTTCCATTTCCTCAAACTCTACAAAGCCCTCACACAAGCTGTTCCCTCTCTCTGGACCACTTACACATCTCCCACCTCCTAAATGATGTTAATGTCTCCTCATTCTTCAGGCCTCAGCTCAGGTGTTGCTTTCTCAGGGTCAGTTTCCCTGGCCTTTATTACATGCTCTCTCACAAGATGGTTGTCGTCCTTATGACTTATCACTGTTGCAATTTTACATTTACTTATGGAATTATTTGATCAATTTCTGTCCTCCTTTCCAGGCAATACCTCTTTCTGTTCAACTTTTGTGTATTTAACACCATGCCTAGCACATGGTTGGCTCATAATGCATATTTGTTGAATGGATGAGAACTGAATGAAAGCATGTGATTCCTTCCCTCTACACAGTTACGCTTACCATTTGTCTGGATGAGTAGGTTGTAGATTTTAGTCCAGATGCCCTCTGGATACAGAGTAAAGCTACATTCGTACTTCCCAGTGAGTGAGGAGGACGTGTTCCTTAAGTGCAAAGTCCACTGCAACACATTCCCGGGAATTTCTCTGGAAGTCACCATTGACTCACAAGAACTCTCATTGGCACAGTAGGAGCCATACTGGGGATGATAAAGGGCAATCAGGTCCAAATTATCAGTGACCTTGGACCATTGCATCTGCACCAAGAAGCCTTTCTTCTGTATTTGGCAGGTCAGGTTGACATCAGAGCCAGGTAAAGCATAAATGTCTTCATTGAACCTTTCTTCCCATACCCCTGAAAAGGAAGGACATGTGCCATCAGTTTGTGTCCTTCGCATGAAGTGACTCAATTAAAAACCTTGGTCACTTTGATGAGGTGAGGGAGCAACTGAGGAATTTTCTCCCTAGCTGCCTTAGTGGTAGGAGAGAGCTTGTACATGATCCAGATAGAGAAGCATGATTCTCCATGTAAATGAGGAGGCATTTGCTTAAGGACACTAGAGGAACTTGTTGACTTCTGAATATCCATCTCTTTGTCTGTTGGTCTGTCAAAAAAATAATTTAAGGTCTCTGACTACCTGTGAACAGACTTAAGACTATTTAAAAACTGAAGTCCATCAGCAAACTTATGACAGCTATTCTTACAATGAGTATAATGGCTTTTTTGGTTATGAATCAATAGATCTATATAACACACAAACAGTATTTTCTGAAACTGAGAAAATAACTATGTATATAACATAGGCTTTTGCATAGACTATCTTTTTTAATCCTCACACACCAAAGAGTGATGTTGCTAGTATTCTTCATCAAAGAGGACACTGAGGCACAGAGAGACTAATTGATTTGCTTATAGTCACATCTCAGTAAAAAACCATGAATTCAGTTGCCTAGAGTCCATGCTCTTTCTATAACCGTCATAACCTCCAAACTGCCTCCCAAATTGGTTGGGAAGAGTAAGAAACTTGACATTCAATATATGAGGATAAAAAAGGCCTTTCGCTTCCATGTAGTTAGGGTTCCTCAGGAAAAGAGGGGAGAAAATACCTCAGGCGGAATTTCCATGAAAGATAAACCTTTGGTCAGCATCATCTATAATCAACACTTTGAAATACTAGACATAAAAGAAGATTCTCTCCTATCAGTTCTCTGACCAAATGGTACAGGGCACTTAAAATATGTTGAGCATTGAGCCTTTGACGTGCCTTCAATAGTGTAGCCTCAGTTTTAGAATTAACATGGAATACTGTTACAGGAATGATATATTATTGTGACAAGTACCACTGAAGCTCACAAAGGGAAAAGATAAAAAGATGACAAGCAACTGAGAAGAAACAAGGCTCTCAAGGTACTTGACAAATGGGAATTATTACACTTTTATGGATACAAAACTTTGGGTAGGCAGAGGTTAGTACAGATTAATGTAGCTCCCTGTGAGTTCTCCTTGGCCTGATAATGTGCCTCTGATCCTATCCACAGTATTATATTCCAAAGTCTCCTTTGATTTAGAAATTCTCCTTAAAACCTTCGTATCTCTATCTGAAAAGCACAGTTAATTCTTAAGACACTCAGGCTCACTATAATGCCCCCAGGCAATGGAGAGCAGAACTAATCTTTCCTCCTGCTATTTTTAAATAGGCCCTTTAGGCACTGGTTCCCACTGTCTTGAGGACACAGTTTGTCTCTTAGGTCCATACCTACAGATGCCTCGTTAAAATTCAATGTATGTTCAACTCCCAAAGACATTAGCATTTGGAGGAGAAATGCTTGTTATATCCAAAACAAAAAGGATACCTGAGAGAGAGAAAAAGTTGAGCAAGGATCTCTGAGCATTGAAGGCTGTGTGATTTTTTTAGTATTCCGGAGTTTTTCTGACTACCATTTGGAGAGCATTTCATTTCCAAGAAGCACAATTTCCCAGTGACTCCAGAGATCCTCTTAGGAAGGAAATGGGTGAAAATGTCTCAGAGCAGTGGCACAAAACACTCATTGCCTTCTTGTTTTTAGTGTTCGTTAGTAATCATTTCTAGACTCTAACATCTCTCCAGTATCTGCCACTTTTAAATACATAACTGAAAACCTTGGTAACGATCTGCCTTTGGTGATCAATTTTGGCAGCAGTCACAGACATTTCAAAAGAACAGAGGCCCCATTTGCCCCTAAAGCAGCCAATCTGACAACAGAGGACAACAGGAAGGCTTACCCCTGATAAGATGTATCTGGATGATGGCGTAGACAGCACAGTATGTCCATCTCTTCTCCATCGTTTCCCGAAGGCCTTACATCAGCATTTCCATAATGATCGCAGAAGCCAATTGATGCTTTTAACGAAGCAAACTCCAGCCACCCTATTCATGCTGAAAAACCCCAAATCTACCACATGCCTGGGTCTGTTTATCACTTGGCAAGACCCCAGGAAATGAAACGTAGACAGGAAAGTAGTGTGGTTCAGAGCTAAGTATAACCTTCAACAGAACAATGTTGAAATTGTTCTCTGAAATCTTGTGTATCACCTTCGTTAAAAGGTTTTTCAGTACCCAAAGATTCTCTCCTTCAGGATCTCTGTGTCAGTCAAGCTGCTTCTAAAATCCAAACAAAGGAAATCATGCAGAGCAGTTCATAATGTGCTTTTTATACATTTCTTTTCAAGAGTACAGAGTCATTTAACAAATGTGAGCTTAGTGTCTTTCATAATAGTTTTTCTGTTCAATTTTACAATATGTTTCCTTTCCAGAATTGCTCCAGGGTGAAAGAACAAAGAATTAACACAGTTAATTTTAATAAAGTCTGACAAGTAACAGAGGGTAGCATCAGCTATCAAACTGCATTTTACTGTCTCCCCTCTTGCAGGGAAACCCACCTTTCCTTCACGTGGAGAAGGGAGGGCTCCTTTTCCTCCCTTCTCTGGGACAGGCTAGAGCTCAGGTGGGGATGTCTCCCACCCTGCTGGCTGGAGGCGTTTTTTGCTGACAGCAGAAGAGCTTGTCTGTGCCTCAGCCAAAAACCATATAGAGCAAGGCCAAAGCAATCGGAATCCAAAGGCAGAGAATCTCCTAGCTCAGCCAGCCACCAGGCCTGCAACATCTGGCCAGTCACTTCCATTGACAGAGGACTCAGCATAGGGTTCAGGGAAGTGACTCCTAGCACGTGATGACTGTTCCCTGCCAGATACCAATGTACTGGTTTTCCAGCTTGCGATAAAATAGGCCATCTTCACCTTCCAACATTAAGAAGACAAGCATTAGGCTGAGGACTACAGCGTCAGTTCACGTACAAAGAATAAAAGCGAATAAATATATGTGTCTGCATACTGCCGTATGAGAGATTGGTGAGATATTCTGTGACTCTCATCTTCACTACAACAATGTAGGTATTGCCAGCAAGCCTGAAGACGAACGAGAAGGCTGAGCTGTGTTTCCAGGTTCCAAGGCGGTTACCCTTTTGAGGTCAGAGGGAGATAAATCTGGCCAGGTTGTCACCATGTATCACGTCATCGTGTGTCATGACATCATGTCATGTCATCTTGGATATACTGATGTGTCCCTATGCAAGGACCTGGCAGGAATATGGATGATGCTGAGACATAAAGCATCGCCCTTGCCATTCAGGAGATTAGAATTTAGCTGGGAGAACAGAGAATTGCATATGGCGAAACAAGGGCTACTGTCTTCCTGGATGTCCAAGCTACCCTCTACAACACCCCTGCAAATACTTGCCATGACAATTGTCATACTTACACATTACTACTCAGCTAATGATGTTTCCTGCAAAGGCCAGAAGATGGAGTTACTTGTTCATAGTCCAGGGCTTCCCAAAGCTTTATTCCCACCCCCACCCCCACCTCCTCACTAAGTTTCAGATCACTAGAGGTGTTGGGTCAGGCGACGCTGACAGGGATGTTTTCAGGGAGGGCTGGGAAGTTCAAAGTCTTTGATTAAAAGGCAGGAGGAGACGTCATTGCCCTCAGTGTCTTCATCTCTTCCCTTTTCCCACTGGAAATTCCAGTAATTCACAGTGATGGAGTATAGTGGCAAAAACAGGCTAAGAGATCTACTGGGATGATCTTGATCTGTACGTTGGTGTTCCGATTAAACTGGGACACATTACAGGCCTGGGGAAGGATTTCAGTTACCTCACTCCACCTGTAATAGAAAGAGGAATTTACCCAAGTGGACATCAATAAAAATCTAAATTTATTAAGTTCTCTAAGAACAGTACCTCCCCTTGAAGCATTTAGAGGTCTCCCATCTCTTATTACTTTAAAGTAAAGCAACTCTTCACACACAAAAAATTCCCTCAAATTCAGAAAAAAGGGAAACTGTCATTTATTTTCCAGAGCTACAGAATCAATTTTAGTGGAATTCTTGCCTCTCATTGGGGTTCGGGTGCGCAAGGCACCTGTTCATTGGCCACTGGGCAAATCTGCCCTCTCTGGGTATTATTCAGAGCTTGGTTCATGGTTTTTATACCTAGAAACCTCTGTGGCCTGGAGTCATCAGATTTGACTGGTTTTCCTTTGGGACTTACCCAGGCTCTAGGAGAAGAAAAATTTCAGATGCCCACAGAATATTAATTGAACGCACCTGGTGTCCGGCAGCTGCATAACCCAGGAGACAGCCCCTCCATGGCTGTTTGCATGCAGCAGGTGGCAGCAAAACCCTGCAGACCTGCGCTGCTGTCCCAGGTGGTGGGAATTGCCTCCATGGCTTTTCAATCCTGATAATACTTTCTAAAGGCCCTTTCAGCGTGGGGATAGGCATTCTCTATACTTAAAAATAACTCTTCTGTGGAAGTCATGAAAATCTCTTCTATTATTCTCCCTGTTCACCAAATCCCAATTGCACAGCATTTCTTCTGCCTTAGATCAGAGTCTCCTGCATAAAAAGAGAAAACAGAAGCAGCCAGTTTCACACACAAAAAGAAATCTTGAACTTCTTGAACTTCAGAGGCAAATTCAATTATTTACAAAGAGAAGCGGGGGTGCACATTATTTCTGCTAGAGGCAAGCCATAATTGTGTGTTTTGGGCACACTTTTTAAGTGCTCCATCTAAACAGTTACCCTCAACGAGAAAAGAACATTTTCAGAAATAGGAAGTTGAGCAAAACGTAAACTTACTTCTGTGGTTTTCATAGAGGTTAACTCAAATATTAAGGCTAACTATCATAAAAAAATAAAATAAAAATGTGGAGTGTTATACCTTTGCACGTTTCTCTCCCAAAATACTTAGAAAACGTGATACTTAATCTTTCAGTTAATCAAAACATCTTTATTGAGTGCCAACTCATGGGATTACTGAAGAGGCATAGTTCTAGGCAATTTTAAAATATAAATGATAAAACACAGCCCTTGCTCTTAAAGCACTTACTGTTTGGCTGGGGAGAAGCATCCACATACACCAAAAGAGTCAAGAAACGTAAAGTACAGAACCGAATGAGTAGGCAGCACGGGACTTTAGAAAAGGAGGTGATTGCTTAGGAATCGAGTGAGCTGGGAACATCTCAAGTGTGGAACCTGCGCTTGGCTTCATATTATAGAAGTGAGTCTGGTGGAAACCAGGAGGTAAGTCATTCCGGATGGGGGAAAAAGTAAAAGCCAACACTTGGAAGTGTTGAAGTTCAAGGCTAATTCATTGAATCAGCTGTTATTGTGGAGCAGAGGCTTTATTGGGGAGTTTGGGGGCAAATAAAGCCATCCAAGGGATGAGCTTAGATTACGGAGGCTTTGAATTTTGGGCTATAGACTTTTTTCTTCATGTCAAAGAGGTTATAAGTTTTTCAGCAAAAGAATAACATATTTAAAGTAACATTTTAGAAGGATGAATTTGGTAGACATGTGTAGATTGAATAAAAGAAGGGAGAAAAGGGAGGCAGAAGACCTGTTAGGAGTCATATTTCTTTAGACACCTGAGGATGAGAGCCTGATGGTGGCAGTGGTTATGGCAAAGCATGATGGGGGCATGGACATTACAAAGAAAGAGGAGGTAAGTCTTGGTGTTCAACTGGACATGGAATCAAAATCTCCTCTGAAGTTTCATGCAGGAGAATAAGGAGAAAAGAAAAACTGTAATAGAGCTGGATTCCTGCGGGAAGAGCCACACTACCCAAGGAGCAATCGTCAAGGGATCATTGGACTTTGGACAAGAAGTGAGGAATAACCTGTTAGGGTCAGGTAGAGGCCCTGCCTCCATGAGAATCGAGTTCCTCCTTTTGGTTTTCTACTCAAATTTTATAAACTTTAAGAATTACTATCTAACGGAAAAGAAAGAATTTCATGAGACTTTCAGCATAGCAACCTGTTTTATCACCATCATTTCCACCATGCTGAATTCCATCCATTAAAGACTAATTTTAATTTAATACATTTTTCCAATGACAACATCAATATGTTTCATTATCAGAAAACATTTTAAAAGGATAACAAAGAAAATAAAAATCAGCCAGAAGCTTAACCATCCAAAGACAACCAGTACTTTTATTTTGCCTTATATCTTTCTAAACTTTTACATTAATATGCACAGTCATGGGTCGATTAATGATGGGGATACGTTCTGCTGTTTTAAGAATTGCGTTGTTAGGCGATTTCGTTGTTGTGGAAACATCATAGAGTGTACTTACACAAACCTAGAAGGTATAGCCTACTCACACCTAGGCTGTGTGGTACTAATCTTATGGGACCACCATCATACACGCAGTCTGTTGTTGAATGAAACATTAGGTGGCTCATGACTGTATATTATGAAGAAAATTGATTTTTACTATTTTTACCACAAGGACACTAAGCTGCACTTTTTTTCACTTCATAATATATTGTAGACATAAGCACATGTTATAGAACAAAGATAAACTTCTTTCTTTTAAAATAGTTGCGTAATATTTTATTGCATGGATGTACAGAAAAATAATTTTTAAGTAAGATAAATATAAAATTTCTGCTGGATATTTTACTTTGAAAAATAGAATTTAAAAATTCAATTGAATAATTATAGTTAGTAATCTTTGAATATTTCTTTTCAGTGGTAAGCTGAAATAAGGAGGGAGAGAGGGAAAGAGGGAGATTGAGAGAGAGAGAGAGAGAGAGAGAAAGAACGAGAGACGTTGATTTTGCCAAAGCCCTGGCAAAGCTAATGTTGACTCACTAATAACACAATAATGTTGACTTTTGCAGAAATGCATTTTAAAAACCATTAATATTTCTAGGGCTAAGTTAACATAGCCAGAATTAGAAGAAATAGTTTAAATTCTACATTTTACCTGGTTTCAAAACATTGAAAATTTATTTAAAATGTCTCTTCACATTCAGTGGAGAAAAAAGAACACCTTGAAAAACTGAGAAGCGTTGTAATTGATTTTAGAGCTTAAAGACGCTATGGAGCCAAATCACAAACTGTGATCCTTTTGTAGA